TGTTCAGATCACCAATCTATGTTAAAGGCATTTGGGATTCACTTGATGTAAGATCTACTTTTTATTATTATTATTATTTTATTCAATTATAAATTATACCGCGCGCAACTTGAATTTTTTGATTAACAATAGGAGTGTATAAATATCGAGTATAAATAGAGTATATACTTCTAAACCAGAATAATCATTGATTTACTTACTCTGCTTACATAATCATAATCTTTATTTTAAATGGAAATGAATTAATTGTATTATATATTTTTAAATGTATCGAAGTTCGTTCTCTTTTCTTCCTTGAAATATATCCGAAATATGTGTAGATTATTGGTATACAAAGGGAAACATCCAATACAATTAGCTCAGGTATGTTCGATATAAATATTTAAATATTTTTTAAATAAAATAATTTTAATGTTTTTTTTTTTTTTTTCTTTTTTAGCTTCTCACTCGTCCAGCTCACTCTATAATAAATCAATCATTTGATTCTCGACTTCGTTTAGACACAGGTCAAATTAATGGTATAATAAAATGGATTTATATATTTATTTTTTGTTTTTTTAATATTTATTCGAATAAAATGATTTATATTTAATAAAATTATTATTCTTTATGTTTTTAATTATAAGGCGATGGATTTGGAGTAGGTAAATATTAATAATATAATATATGTTTTATCTATTATTATTATTATTATTATTAATTCATTATTATAATATTTAATCCTATTATTATTATATCATTATTATCATCATTATTATTATTTAGGGTGGTATGAATCAAATCCAGATAAAAATGAAAAATCTACGCCTTGTATATTTACTTCCGTGACTCCCGCATGGAATAATCAAAATTTAACAAGACTTGCAGAAAAGATAAAAAGTTCATTGGTGTTTGCTCATGTAAGAGCTTCTACTGCTGGGGTTTTATCTGAGACTAATTGTAATTCTTTCGCTTTCTTTCTTTCTTCCTTTTTTTCTTTTTTTTTTTTCATTTATTTAATAATTGTTTTTAATATAATATTAAGATTTTATAATCTAATAAAATCAATAAAATCGTTGGAATTAATTAATTAGGTCACCCATGGCAATATGAGAGATTGATGTGGATGCATAATGGAGATATATCAAATTTCAATAAGGTTTGATTTATTATTTTATTTATTAATTAAAAATTAATATAATTATTAATTAATTTTATACTAATTATTATTATTAATTAGATTAAAAGAAAATTACAACAATCATTGAGAGATGAAATATTTTTACATATTCAAGGAAACACTGATTCTGAATGGGCATTTGCTTTATTTCTTAATCAAGTATGAATTATAATAATATTTATTATAAATTTAAAAATTATTAAAATATCAATAGAAATTAATAGAAATTAATGGAAACTATTATAAATTAATAATAATATTATTATAAATTTATAATTATATTATTATAGCTTGATGATCCAAAAAATGGTCACTTTGATCATACAACATTGAAAGATGCAATGTTGAAAACTATTGGATTATTAAATACTTGGGCCATTGAAGAAGGAATTGATGAGGTTTTATTTTTGTTCATTATATTCATTATATTATTTATATTATTTATATATTTATATTATTTATTTATTTATTTATTTATTTATACTGTTTATTTTATTTATTTATTTATACTATTTATATTATTTATATCATTTATTTATATTATTTATTTATATTATTTATTTATTATTTACAGCCATCTTTACTTAACTTTGCGGTAACCGATGGACAATCTGTAATTTGTACTAGATATATAAGTAGTAAAACTGAAGAAGCGGCTTCTTTATATTTTTCTTCTGGTACAT